TTTGCAAATTAATTTTTCAAAAAATAAAAAAATAAAAAAAATTTTGAAAGTTGATCCAAAACATTCATTATAAAATTCATTAAAATTCATTATATCTTTAATCTCAAATTTGTCATATTTCAGAATTACGACAATAATATTTTTATTTTCTAAAATCAATGTAACTAAATTTCAGTATAAAAACTAAAAATTCAAGAAAATTAAAAAAATTAAAAATCATACAAATTCTTAGTAATCTTTATTAATTTTTTTTAAATCTTATGTAATCTTTGTTAATGTTAAAAAAATCGATAAATCTTAAGAATTAAAAAGAAATATATTTCAGATAATCGAATATCGTGAAGTTGCATCCTGGTCACTTATCTCAAATTACACACAATCAAGCCACCCAACTTGGCCACTTCTCTAGTGTTGTTAGTCCAATGCAGGTGCAGTGGATAGAGTGACTATATTTGCAAATTAATTAAAGTTAGGTGACTTGATTGTATGAAATTAAAGATAAATGACTTGAATGTGACTCTACTAGAAGTTGTGGGGACCCAGAATGCACTTAACCCCACAATTTATCCCCCATTTTGGAGTTTATAACAAGTAGGTCATACTGACCTAAGCTTCACGTCACTACTTGACGAGTCATTGGAATGGAATGTTCCATCTTATCACGGGGTTTTATAAATTTAAGGATGAAGATAAATATAAAAACTCTTTCTTATGCAAATTCTCAACTAATGCAAGTAACATTTTCTTTATTTTCTCACATAAATCTATAATTTATTAAATATCATATCAAGAATAATTTATTTATAAATGAATTTATTTCAATTCACTTATCTTAGAATTTTAATGGATATTTAAATTCGTGTATTAACAATTAATTTTTATATTCCTAATGTAATATAGAAATGTTGCTCATTTGTATCATTTCATCAAAAAAAAATAAATTTGAATCATAGAAGTTAAGTTTTGAGAATACAATTTTATTCTCTTGAATTTTTATCCTAAATTTTATTTTCTTTAGCTCGTTTGAGACCCTTCCAACAAATTAGTATCAAATATTACTTTTACGATATTTATAAAGTATTTCAGAATAAAGTGAAATGCACGTTCAAATCTGACTAGTGGTTTTAAATATCTAAGTATTAAAAACAAGATCAAGGTTAATGAGAGAAGCTAATCTAAC